GCTTGGACTAACCTTGTTGCGCTTGTTGGTCTCGTGCCAGCCGCTGAAAATCCTCAAGGTTTAGGGTTTAGGCTTTCGCGATTTGTCCGCCTCTGGGTCGGCGGACTGAGCCGGAGGCTCTTAAGTTATGGGAACCCCCCAAATCCCAGCTAAACCCTAAACCCTAAACCCTAAGCCCTAAACCCTAAACCCCCTAAGCCCTAAACACCAAATCCCAGGCCAGGCTCCACATCCAGGCGCCGCTGAGCACGCTGCAACGCTCTTCGGAGCTGGTCGGCTCCCATCTGTATCTAGCGGGCTTAAAAAATAGGTTTTGGGTTTTTAAGGGGTTTAAAGGTTTAGGGTTTAGGGGTTTAGGGTTTGGGATTTAGGGTTTAGGGTTTTAAGGGTTTAGGCTCTAGGATTCAGGGTCTAGGGTTCAGGGTTAAGGGCTTACACAGGATTTAGGGTTGAGTTCAACAGCTGTTGTGCAGGAATTCAGAGCTAGGAGGAGTTCCTCGTAATAGTGGTTCAAGTCTGATTCGTGGGTCATGTCTGACAGGTTGTGGGTAGGCTTTAGGATATGGAAAGGGTTCAAAATTACGCGACGCCTTCAAGCTGATTCCACATGCGGGTTTCCCAAGGCGGGGGAGACCCCTATGGGACCCAAAAGAAACATTCCCCATAAATGAAACGACCTACAAGCAAACACTCTCACGGCACATGGCCATGACTTTGCCTGCAAGCACTTCCCCGTTCAGTTTCGTAGAAGTATGAGGAACCTGGTAGCTCACATGCCTCGCTATCATATAGGTTCCCCTTCTAAGTATTCTGCTGCTACTACAGTATGCTTCCTCAGCATGGGTGAAAGGTCCGCTTGGTAGATTCCATCACAGAAATAGGAACATGGTTACATGTTCCAACCTCACAACCTCACCCTGATCTGTTGCCAGCCAGCTGACTGGTCACAACTTCCCGACAAGTTCTTTTAACTACCTAGACCCTCCTCCTACCCTCTATTAGGGCCTATAAGTACCCACTATTAGGGACCATATATCCCAAATTAAGGGTACAAGGAGGGTCCTGGTAGATAGGTGTCGTGAGAGGCCATACACTGCATCCTCAGCGCTGCTGAGGGTCTAAGCTGACGTATGGGCGCTGTGGATCCCCAAAGCAAGCCCTACATAAAAGACTGTGCGCGCACAGGAGCTCATGTTCCGCAAATCCCAGCCGCAACAAACAACAAGAAAACGGAAAAGCATCTGCGTCACCTAGGTAAATTGAGAAGACTTCTGGAGCTAGAAAGGTCCACGTCATCCGAGGGTAACCCCCGCCAAGCTAATCACGCAACCACAAAAGCCCCGGTGATCAGGGAAACCCTAATAGATCGACAGATATTGGCATATGTGTGGGTATGTATATACATACAAATATATGTGTTTAAAGATGTAGGAGCTCGTTTGGGCCCATCCCCAAAGAAACACACATCCTTGCAAGCTATAAATGCCTTCTGAAGCTGTATGCTGCACTTCGAGCTGGTATCTAGCCTACTCACTTTTCTGGCGAGTTCAGGGGAGACTGGGGACTGAAGACTTAGGTAATCCTTTCATACCAATATCAAACACCCCCCCCAAACTCACCCCTAGCATTCAATATGCAGCCCCAGTATGTGTATATATATATATAGATTATATATTTATACATATGCACTGATATACAAGTTCTATGGGAATATCTAATATGAGGGGTTGGGGTGTGTTTAGTATCCGTACGAAGGGGTACCAGTCAAGTTTAGTAAATAGGGGGTCAGTTTAGGGAACCGCTCCTTTGAAGCAAATCTCTTTGCTTTGCTTTAGGGGGATATGGGGTTGCCCGCAGATACTCTCTCTCTCTCTCTCTCTCCGCCACTCCCTCTCCCTATCTACATATATATATATATATGTATTTATATACATACATATGCCTAAGCCCTAGAGGCTAAATCCTATCCTAAACATAGAAACGTTGGGCCTGGGTAGCTAGTATTGAGGCAAGGTGACCGTTGGGACTTGATCCGTGACAGCGACAGGGACCCGCCTTGGGCTTGGGGCTATCGCCTCGCGGCAAGATGCTTCTCAGAACTGTGGGTCTCTTGCTAGAAAAACACTGTGTTACATGGAGACCCGAGGTCCGCAGGCGGTGCAAGATGTCATGCATAAGGGAAACCTCGTGAGGGAAAATTGTCGGACATGCAGCTTTGGCCGAGATTGTCTGGTTCTTGCCGCTACCTGTTCATTGAAGGTTCCACCGCGTATAGCACGCCCTGGCTGGATTCTGTTGCGTTGTGGGGCGCGCTGGCAAAGATATGAGGCTGGGATGAAGCAGTAACAAGGTCAAATCTAGTCAAGCGATGACATGGGTTCGTATCGGTTCTGCTCTTCTAGCAAGGTCTTAGTCGAACCTCCGGGTCCGTCTAGAGTCTTCACTGAGCACCTGACGTAGGATGCCTAGGAGGGAGAAGCGGTCTTGCAATTGCGTATTCTTGGAGTCGGACTAGCATGCCCCTGTTTATGCCATCCTTTTGCTTGGGCTAAGAAAGCCAAGATGGGGAAAACAATGCACTATGTTGAGTATTCGCGCCTGTCTGTCCTCGGAGAAGCTGGCGCACCAGTAGGTCCTTGCCATGAAGCAGATGCTCTCTTGCTCAAAGGGTACAAACTAAAAAGGTTCCAGGATAGTTTGTGAAAGCAAGGAAACCATTCCGGCAAGCAGGCCCAATCTTGGACATTAATGATTCTTGCAACTCACCAGCCCTGCCCAAGACCATCTTTGAGCATTGCAGCTACACGGCGTGGCGGATCGACCTGTAGACTTTCAGAATTAGGCGACAACTCGAGCTTAAAAAGACTGTCACTGAAAGCCCTGTGAGTTCAGCATACCTGAAATGTCACGTGTTTTTGCCTTGTCCTCACTGTAACGCTGCTTAATGTTTGATTTGGGCTTCTCCTCAACTACTGTAAGTAGTCCCCTCAAAAATAAATCCAAGAACAGTAGGATGTTTGTTACCCCTCAACCTCCCTAAACCCTTAAACCCTAAATCCTGGGAGCTAGGAACACCATACCTTGCATAAACCCGACATGCCATACATTGGGTACTGCCCTCACCCTGTAACAGTCTATATCAGAGGCCATTTTCAGGGCTATATATGCATATATATATATATATGTGATTTAGGGTTTAGGATTTAAAGTTTAAGGGTTAGGGCTTTAAGTCTATAATAAGGATCATATGAAGGGCTATATATATATATAACCATGAAACATATTATCCAACTGTTACAGA